AAGTTCCTTCCTTCGTCTGTTCATTCTTTCATGCAGGCATTTCGGGGCACTTGCATGGACAGATGCTGATTTAGGGCCCTTTTTGGTTTTGTCTTTTGGACGATAGTGAGTGAGAAGAATCGGGGAAGGACGGGGCCGTGAGTTAGTGATCTCTGCGTGAATGGTAAGTGCAGTGGTGAGGCACTGTGACTTGAGGTAGGACAAAGGAAGAACGTTGACATTAGCCTGGGGTTCAGGAAAGATCTGGGCTTGAAGGATGAGTAGAGTGTGAATGGGTATGTAAAAGGTGCGAAGGGGAAGGAAATTGGAATTGATCTAAGGAGCACTGGGAGGACCCATTAAAGGAATTTAGACCTGCCCCGTCTGAGCGCATGCCCTTATATTTCTGCCAGGATTATGCCTGACTGGTCATCTTTCTAAAGAATCTCTCCTCAAACCTATTTTAAAATATAGCTGCATTTTTAATATTAGTACCTGTGAGTACTAATACTAACTTATTAGTACCTGTGAGAAGATGTCTCTCTTTCCGTCTTGATTGTGAGAGTGCTGCGGTCAGCAAGAGCTCCATCATTCATCTGAGTGTCCCTAGGAGGTGCCTTTGTAAATAAGAGGTTCTTATTAAAAGTTTATTGGGCTTCATCAAACATTCTCACCTGCTTTTTCTGATTCATATGTGTAAATCATGGATATGTTACTGAATAGGAAATTCACGCATCCTCCTAAAATTCACGTCATTAGAATACCTTAATATTGTTAACCTGGAATACTATGTTATTAGAATACTTTGATATTATTATCCTGGAATATTATTAATGCTTCCAGGATTTTTCACGAAATAATGCTCAGAGTAGTTGTTGGAGGTGCTGTTTTTATTGTTCTGTCAGGCAACTAGCATGTTTCAAGGAGCGTGCTGAGAAGTAGAGTATCTTCTTTCTAATACCAAACTTCTCTAATCAATTTATAGGCACTTAGTTGGATGAATGGGTAAGAGTAGGGAAGTAAGAGTTGAGTAAATGGAGAACAAAATTGATTCGAATGTTTTTAAAAATCACAAATTTCTCAATTCAGAGATGTAAATTCCTGTTTTCCCAATTTCTCTATGGATTGGACAGGCAGCTTGGATTGTGTTTCAAAATAAAAATTCCTGATGATAGAAGCCACCTTGATTATTCAATCATATAAAACATTCATATTCTTTTATTTCATTCTGAGAAAAAAATGATCTAAAATTATTGCCCCAGATCCTCTAGCTAAGAGTTGCTAATCATTTTCTTTTCAGAATATCACATTGATTTTGAGTATGGATTAGGCAAATATAACATTTTGTAGAACTCAAAAATTTTTTTTTCAAAATGGAAAAAAAATCCTCACGCTTTTCTTACATACAAATGAATTAAGGCTGTGAACTATTGCCTCTGAATCATTTGAAAAATATTGAAGAAGTTGTAATAAGCTTCAAGCTTAGCTAAAACTTCAGATACTTTATTTTTAAGTTGTGGAAAATATATTCTGCTTGGAAAAAAACCCATAAACTGCTAAAAATGAATTATTAAACTATCTGGAAGTGTCTCAGATGAACACTGGTAATTACATGCAGTAGCATTGTCGTCCCTCGGCTTGGTGGCGATTTTTCTCCTAATATTAATACGGGAACTTTCCAGGAGATTAACACAGTCACGAAATGCATTTAAGAAGGCCAAGTGTACCCAGGATGTGAGGAAAGGGCTTAAAAACAAAAACTCCTGGTGAGTGAGAAGGAATTTATTTCATGCTCGATGGAGTTTGGTGTTGTAAAAGCTGCTGGTTAAATCCACGGATAGAGGAATGATTCCCTTGTGTGTCCTGAGTGGGAGAAAAAGGAACAAATTAGTATTATGGCAACAGTAACTAAATGTCTCTCGACAAAAATGTAGTCTAATTTATAAAGTGCATGACTAAGTAACGGGAAAACTATAGTAACGGGAAAACTATGTAGCACACGTACGTGTCGTTACAGCGCTCGCTCTGCCTTTGATTTTTATGTGTAAAATCCAGCTTTTCTTCTTGGTTGGGTCTTGATCCTAATGCCTTTTCTCACTCTTTGATTTCCTATCCCTCCTCCTGCTTGATGCTCATGTAGTTTCCTTTTATTGAAATATTTCAGTCGTCTTTGAAATGATTCAGCAACCTGGGGGACTTTTTAAAACATGCTTGCTCTAGTACATGTTCCCAACTTTCTTTCATCTTCTAACAGATGCAGTCCTGCGCAGCAAGGCATGGTAATTGCTCTGTAACTATGAAGAGTGAGTACATGTAATGCGTAAGGCATACGTTTTAGGGAACATTTTCCCCAAATACTAGCTTATCTGAGAGGGAAGATTTAGTTTTAGTGAAAGACAGCCTGAATATTTTTACAAAATTAATTATGTAAAGTTTTTTTTTTGGCATACCCATGCTAACAAAGCAATTTATCTTTCTTTTTAGTGTAAGTATACTTAGAAGACCAACAAGATAAAGAAAAATGGAAGTTCTTTAAAGCCTATCTAGTACAAAGAACTACCTGATGCTGGTTACTACAATTGAGATATTATTCACCAAAAAGATGTTAAGTTTGTGTTCATGAGTCTTGAGCTGCGTTTTCTCAGTGGCTCAGGGCAGAGACTCCAGCATAGAGGGGGTGTGGTGCCCCCATGACCCCCTGACCCCCTCCCCTTCCTAATCTCACCCCAATAACACAGCCCCAACCCCCAACAGGGAGTGGGGAGTTCTCTTGATGTCCAGGAACTAACTGGTGGGGGAGGTTGAGGGGGTGATTAAAGAGAAGGTGGGAACATTTGTTAACTGGTCAAGTATTTGTTGTTGACAGAGCACCGCATTGTTAAATCAGCCCTTGTAACCTTGGTGTCTTTTCCTCGCACTGCAAATTTAAATGCATATATGTGATAGGGAACCAGAAAATGTCATTTTAATGCTGTTTGGATAAAACGCCATGGCTTAAAAGCATACAGTCTTTTAAATTATTTGCTCATAAGAGAAATTTGAACCAGAATACTAGAATATTATGGTCATAAAGGATGGAGAAAATTATTATTTGTCTCAGTACCAAACAGAATAAAGATCAGCTTCTGCTCCAGGTAAGCACCTTGCTTAAGAGTTTACATGTCACTTTAGGAGCTACAACATGACATAAAATGTAAGTGTCTAAATACTGGTTGATTAAAAATAACAATTTGAGGAACTGCGTGATTAAGTGTAATGATTCATCTCATTCCACATAAAACATTCTTTACTCCTTTTAAATTAAAAAAGAAGACCCTTTAAAGGAATATGATAAAAATAACCACCTTTAAATTAAAAACGAAAATAAGTATACTAAACATAGTATATAAGTGTGTTATGTTTCAGAATTAAGAATAGTACTCTAGAATACAAGTATCAAATAACGATTTTATTGAGAGGCTAAGGGCCTATTGACTGGAATAGGGCCCTTCTATTAGGATAAAACTACTAGTACGTAGTTCTATTTTATGTGGAAAGTGTTTGAAAGACTACCTAATCAATTTTTTTAATAGGTGCATGGTAAGTTTTTAATGTAGCGAATCTTACAAAAATAACCATTTTTGTTTTATAATTTAAATTATTAAAACAATTATAATAGAAAAGGTCATTGAACATATTAGGCAGTACCTAAAAAACAAAAATCAAAGACATGAATTCCTTCTCTAATACTGAAATGATACTGCTCCATTTCAAGTTTCACTGGAAAATAAATGTTTCAGAAATGGTATTGCTATTTGTTCTTTACAAAGAAGAGATTGTATTCTGTGATCTTTGAAGATCAACTTCTAGTAAGTTAGAGAAACCCCCCTATGTTAAGACCCTCCCAATACTCTCTCAATTCTTCACGTAGAATGTCTCTTCAACATCACATGCACCGTCATTTCTAGATCTTCATAGAATCGTCACTGCCATTATCCTCTTTTACCAAGATAAAGTCAAATCTCCAAAGAACCTCATGGAGATACTTTTCTCACAGTCATCCAGAAACCGTTTTTTGAGTGGTTTGGATCTGGTACTAATCCCAGCTGCTTAAAGACAAAATCAGTTGAGACAAAGGGACTATACAAAGGCAAAGAGTAATACCGAATGGAAGAGAAATTTAAAAACTGGATCTTTGTGTTCTGAAGTTTTATTCACCAAAGAAAACAGGCAGGAAAGAAAGAGAGGAGAGACGAAAAAGACCCTAGATAGTTATGGAAAGACCTTGTAAATGCCACCAAAGGCGACAGGCCCAAAGTGGGGACAGGATAAACGCCCTTCCCTCAAGCGAAAGGTGTTTGAATTCCACTGGTAAATGTGTGCGTTGGATCATTTGAAACTGGTCTTAAAGCTTGTTTTCCCCAACATTTAATTGTACAAATTTTCAATCAAGAAAGTGCAATGAATGCCTCAACTCCCACCTACATTCTACAATTAACACTCTACTTACTTTTTCAACCATCTACCGTGTATCCATCTGTCTCTCCACTGAGCCAGCTTATTTTTTGATGCATTTCAAAATGAGTTGAAGACATTAGTACACTTCACTGCCAAATATTTCTGCATGTACCTCAATATTTGTTTATGACTCTTTTTATTTTTTGAAGTAAAAGGTACATATACTAAAATATACATATCTACCCAAATCTTAGGTGTACTCACTCTGTGATTTTTCACAACTGCATCTGCCTGTGAAACCCCAACCTTTGTGACGATATAGAACATATCACCCCAGAAAGGCCTCTTGTGTCCCCTCATCATCAGTCCCTATCCCCTGCAGCCAGTGTTCTGGGTTTTTCTCATAGATGAGTTTTGCTTGTCCGGAATGTCCTGCAAATGCAGCCATGCTCCGTGTCTTGCTTTTGCGTGAGGCTTCTTTCACCCCGCCCGTATCCTTTGGATTCACCTGCCGTGGCGAGTGGGACAATCTGATTCTGCTGCTTTTGAGTGGCCCCGCTGATTTGGTGAACTTTGTCCTTCAGGCCTGTTTCCTGCCATTCTCAATCTCGCCAGCAATGCCCACATCAGCACCAACGCCACCTGCGGCGAGAAGGGGCCTGAGATGTTCTGCAAACTTGTCGAGCATGTGCCGGGTCGGCCCGTTCGAAACCCACAGTGCAGGATCTGCGACGGCAGCAGCGCGAACCCCAGAGGCAAGTGTCGCTCCCTCCGTTCCGGGCACCGTGGGAACGCACGCCTTCTGCAATGGTGACCGAGACTTCTACTAGGAAGCCGTGAACGTTGTGTTCGCCTTCACCGCTGTTCGTTTCTGCTAGCGTTATGGTTTAGACGTTAAAAAATTTAAAGCAAAAACTGAGAGGAATGCATGCTTTTATTCTCTTTTAACAGAACGGCACCCAATATCAAATGCGATCGACGGCACCAATAACTGGTGGCAGAGTCCCAGCATTCAAAACGGGAGAGAGTTTCACTGGGTCACAATCACTCTGGACTTAAGACAGGTGGGTGAGGCCAGAACCGTTGAAGAATGTTTGTGGGTTGCTGAACTGTAGAGTTTGGGAAAGTCTGCCTTGTTTCTTAACATGTCTACACTCTGGTGTCGCTGTTTTCCACCCGGTGGATCGAGTGGTGTACAGAAGTAGTCCACGCTGCCATTCTTGTCACGTTTATCATTCCCAGGTATCTTGGAGGAGACGAGTGAAGTTCCTTCCAAATGGCTGATGTTCTATGTCAACAGGGCACACTCATCTGTTCAGGACACTACATCAGGCTGTGTGCTGGACGCCCACACATGGTGCTCCTACTTTTCGAGCTTCGTCTTGCTATTATCATGGTGCAACATTATCATTTAAGAGTTGTGAAAGGCTAGGAAACAAAAGGAGACAACGTTAAACCTCTTGACTATGTCTCACCCCTGCCCAATGCTGTCTGCCTGGGCCACGTGTAAGCTGGCGTTGCCCGGTACTAACGTGGGCAGGGCCTTCCGCGTGAGTTGGGAAAGGCAAGGTGTCAGTGGCTGCAACCACACCTGCATCCTCTTACCTCGCTCCACAGCCACATCGGGAAATGGAGAGAACTATGACATGAGCCCTGGTTGCCCCCATGTTTCTGCCTAAGGGAAGGGAAGGGAAGGGGTCGGGTCTGAGTGAAAGGGATGGAAAGGGGATGGCAGGAATTTGGAGCTATTGTCACAATTTCTGATTTGAGTTCTCCAGAAAGGCCATTGCATGACTTTCTTATTTCCATTCACTTTCACTTGAGTTGGAACTCATAAATCTCATGTAAAATATTTAGGTCAGTTGAAAGGGACAAATAGTTGAAATATGAATTGTAGGATTGAAATAGGAATTTTGGAGAT